ATATATATATATATATATATATATATAAAGTATAGTAGGGCAGGCGGAAAGTCGGTGCATGCATTATTTTTTGACACGTGAAAACTAACATGCACAAAACCCGGGCGTCAAAGCGCTGTTGTTCGAGCGTCGAGTAATGGAGGCAAAACTCTCGAAGGTCGCGCGGATTCTAAAACCGTCTCCAATCCGAGAGCTTTCAAAGCTCGCCCAAAGAGTCGGCGCCATTGATCTCTCCCATGGTTTCCCCGATTTCCCCGCGCCGGGACGTCGAGGCTGCCGCCGGCCCTGCCATCAACTCTGATTTCAATCAGTATGGGTTAATCATTCTCTTTTGAAAGAACAATTTCTGTCCTAAAAACTGACAACTGAGCTAGGGTTTTACAGAATAGAATACAATGATGTCTCTGATATGTTGAATCTTAACCTTCATTTTTTCTGAGTGATGCATTGGATTCGCTATTAAACTCATTATTCTGATTACCTTTCTGAACTTTCTTTTTCCTGAGTAAAGGAATGTGCAAGGCATCTGTGAATTGCTGGAGGCAAAAATGAAACAAGATCATGGTCTAGAGATAAATGCACTCACTGATGTTGTGATCTGCTGTGGCCAGACCGAAGCTTTTTTGGCAGCTATATTTGCTGGTAAGGGTTCGCATGTTTCCTTTGGCCATCTTTGCTCTGCTGGTCAATGTTCTCAGCTAATCCCATGTCTTCATCGTGTCAAAGCTTTCCGTTGTACGATGTGGAAGTTTGAACTTGATTGAAAAATTAGTTGATTTAAGGGGTTGTATGGTCAAATTTTATTGTTATTTATGGCGTCTAAAATTTAATTGACAGTGATTGACCATGGCGATGAAGTTCTTTTGTTCGATCCTGCTTATGAAAGATATGGCTCTGGGATTTCTTTGGCTGGAGGAATACCTGTAAGTTGGTCATCAAATTTCCTTGGATATACTTCGATATGATTTGTTAAGCTTCATTAGCACGCCCATATATATCCTTGAATCATGATTTTAGTGACACAATTGCCAAAAATTGATGGTGAAGCCATTTTTTATAGCTGTAGACTCCAAATTATAAAACGTGTTTTCCATGTGGATTGATGATTTTTTTTTTTTATGAATTACAAAGTTTCTTAAGTATATTTATAGTTGAGAACAGTTAACCGTGTTTGATTTCCTCAAGTGAACACGTCAGGTCTATGTGCCATTGGATCCACCTTATTGGACTTTCGATGTAGAAAAATTTACAAAATCCTTTACAAATCGGACAAAAGCTGTGGTTCTTAACAGGTTAGTATTGATTAATTTTAATCAGTTGGTTTTAATAACGTTGGAATTATGAATATACCCAACATTTAAATATTTTAGGTAACTTAGCACAATATTGATGATTTATATTTTGTACATTCGCTAAATTTTGAGCTGTCGTGATTTAATTCTATTAATTTTTCTTATGTGTAATAGGTGCAGTTTGGTATTTTAGCCCAAGGATATTTTGAATTAGATTTCATATGTGAACTATTGTGATTGGATATCTATGTAAAACTTCATGTTTATGAATATTTCATCTTGGTAAGGTTTGTTTAATGAGCAATCCAAGCTTAAACAAGGTTTTTTTGCTTGATTATTACAAAAAAAAAAAGAAAAAAAAAGTGCTTGATTATAATCAGCACAATTAAAAAGAGAGGGTTTTTGCTTTTCTCTTAGAAGAATAATTATTCTCTCTCAGGCACATCACTGGATTCCTAATCAAAATTTTTTAGAATCATTTAGCAATTTATGATTAGCAATCTTGATGCTCTGTTGATCAATCTTGTAATGTCAATCCAAGGAATCCTCAAATTTATATAAACCATTAAGAAAATTTTAGGATCATGTTTACCATTAGATATACTGTCATGATTTCATCGACCTTAACTTTTAAATTGCTTTATATTTATCAAGATTTTGATCATGAAGAACTCCATGATTTCTTTCATGTTGCCTATAGCGTTAATCATGATGATCATCACTAGAATTGTTTTTTATAATAGGATTTTGATAGTAAATCTTTCCATTAATAACTTTCAGGTTTCGAAATCTTTGTTTCATAAGATCCCAATGGTCTATGGGTTAATGTAGTTTCTAGGGTTCTTGGCTTGCTTATTTTTGGGATGATGGTATTGAAACCTATCCTAAAGACATTCTTAAGGGTGGAGGATAATACTAAAGTTCTTATGGTTACAACATGGGTATATCATCAGTTATTCCATTGTATCATCTAAGGCATTTGGTGGAGGTTAAAGTTTTTTATGATGTTGATTCTTTATGGCGTTATTAAGCAAGGAAAATAACATTGCAAGAGGTAATTTCCCCTAGATATCTATTTTGGTTAGTCTAAAATAATAAATTTGCTTTTTTTCTTAGAATAATTTAAACTTCTCATCTCATCTGGATGAGGATAGAAGCAACACCGTTAAAAGGTCCTTTTATAGGGCCTCTTATCAAGATAGATGAATTAAAGAACATTTAAATAATTCTAAATGAGTCAAAATGGAAATAAAGTCTTCATCATCATGAGCATCAAACATTGAAGATAAGCAGCAGGTGATCTACATGTCTTTGATTTTCATGGTAGGCTAAATGACCTAGAATAATATGCAGATAAATTCATTAATGGTTACTTTTATTCTTTTAAAAACCTAACCTAAAAATGTTGCAGCCCGCATAATCCTACTGGGAAAGTTTTCTCCAAGGAAGAACTTGAAGCCATTGCTGGAGCTTGCCGCAACAGGGACTGCTTCTGCATTACTGATGAAGTATGGATCCCTGCTTAGATTATTTTCTTGAAGGAGGTTGCAAATGATAAATTAAGGATAAAGCATTTACCACACTTTCTTGACATCGACAGAGTTCTTTTTTCCTGGAAACTGTTGAATTATGCTTATTTGTAAATCGAAGGGCTCCCTTCCATATTGATAGTAGTCATTGTGTGTGTATTGTTGAAAGCCAACTATCATCAGCAGTCACAGTTATAAAATATACAATCTTCATAATGCAAAGCATTATTTAGAAGTTCAGAGGTATGGATAGGTGATGTTAATTCTGTCTTGTGGAAGAACATTAAGATTTTCACTGTAATTTAGAAGAATGCCATTCTTTTGTATTCTTCTTATTTTGAATGCTCCTTTATGTTGTGATCCCGACATACAATGTCATATAATTCAGCTAGCGGGTTAATTTTATGTTTGGTTTAGATGCCACTGGCTGTTTCAGGAAATTTCCTTTTCATAAAATGCTACGTACTATATCTTATATTCTTATAAACTTCCATCAATATGTAGTAATGCTTATTCATATCTTTCAGGTTTATGAGTATATAACATTTGACATGCATAAGCACGTGTCTATTGCCTCTCTTCATGGGATGCAAGAAAGGACCATCATCACATCATCATTGTCAAAAACATTCAGCGTCACAGGTGAGTATTAGTTCTTTTCATTTCCTGGCTTGTGATTATTACATCTTTTGCATGGGAAATTTACCTTAGTGTTGCCTAGTTCTTTTTGGATTCAGCTTTTTTAATCACTTGTAACCCACAATACAATAATGTTGATATGTTAAGGGCATGGCTGAATTTGTTTTTGCATTTTGTTATTGGTTTTCTATTTTATAAAAAATATGCACTTAAGTATAGGAAACCTATGCAGTAACTTGTTTTCAATTCTTTTTTTTAGAAACAAAATGGCTATTTTTCTTAGATTGGGAAAACACATGCAGAAACATGCCAGTGTAAGCGACTGTGATGAAGTTACGTGGCTGAACATAAATGAGAGTGGGAATCTCTTGCTTGTTTTATATGGAGTCGAGAGGGTATGGTGTATAATTTGGTGTGGTTAATTGAGGAGAATGAGAAGTAGTCTAGTACGGAGCCTCTTGTTGGGCTTGGGGTGATTGAAGGGTTTTGACAAGTTTTGTTTGTACAATGGTTGGCAAGATGCTTGTGTGGTTGCTGAACGTTGGGAGGTGGTATGGAAGTTTGTGGATATGAGGAAATGGATTGGTGTGGCTTTGGGGATAGGAAATTTGAGAGCCTTCAATGCTGGCTTCGACTTGCAAGGAGAAACCAATGCTTTGGGAAAGGGTTTTGGTGATGGAGGGGAAGATTTAGTTAAGGCAAGGATGTGGGGATGAAGTTTGACTGTGGTGGAATCTCCGTACTGAGGGCTTGACAGAACGAAGGTGAGGAGGATGAGGCAAATCTGTGAGGGAGTTGTCTTGTTTTGGATGAGAGGATGAAGGATCTGAGAATGCTTGTGGATGTGTTAGAGGCGTGAGGGAGATGGGGCCATAGTAAAGTAAACTCTTTTCAAAATGATATGCAAATATTTGGCCAACAAGCCTCTTGCAATGTGTTAAGCATAGAGCAAGATAAAAGAATAATAACAATTCTTTTGCAATTAAATCATAGAATGATCTTTATTAATACATGATGACGCTCATATATATATTTTCCTCATTACATTGAAAACTCAAAGAAAAAAATATTCATGCGGTCGTTTGCTACCAAGGTGGTGAGAGATGTGGTATTGGAAGGGGCAGGCATGGGGTCGTCTGCTCCAAATCATGGGTAAACATCGAGTTTGACTTTCTTGAATTGTAAAGTTGACTGTTGGCCACTAGGAACATGTTTTTTTCCATGCTACCTTGAAATATGGCAAAAACTTTGACAAATTCACTTTATTTTTTCGAAGTGGAGAGGTTTGACCAAGTCTGATGCTATTATGGCTGTCCATTGACTTGTCTAGTACCATGGAGATTAGATGTAGCCATCTCAATGATGAATTGGAAGCCCACCTTACATGCATAATCTTTCTACTTGTGTATGCCTTGAATTTTACTAAAAAAGTGAAAATAATACAAAAACTGGAAAATGTTCAAGCAATGCAGTTAAGTGAGAATTGTTAATAAGCCAATCGATCCACCAAGCAATGTTCTTTGTCATGGAAGTCATAATTGATCTCTGATTTTCTACATTTAATTTGATTGTTTAGAATAATGAGAAATTAGTTAGGATAATGAGTTTAATTAGTATATAACTTATGTCATTAATATTTTATTGGTGTTTAATAATGGAATTTAGGTTTAAAATGTTCAATTAATAAATTAATTGAAATATTTTTTCATTATATATATACTTTGGTTAATTGTAAACGCGTTTATAATTTTTTAAACTATAATAAATAGTTATAAGATGATAAATTAATTGATTACTAGTTGAATGACATTTAAATATTTAAGCTCATTAGGGATTAATTCTGTATAATTAAGATTGTTAAGATTTTATTAGTATTCAATTATGAAAATTAAGCATAAAATAATTGATTAATTTATTTATTAATTAAGAAGAGTAAATTATAATTACAATCATTTGGACTAATCAAAAATTAAATCACAGTTTAGTTAAGTCTCTTAATGTTGTGTTATTATTTGTTATGAAAATTAAGCTTGACCAAAATACTTGCGGCTTAATTGTTTACTTATTAGGATTGTTTAATTCATCATTAAAGGTATATTTTAATTGTTAGTTACTGAAAGTAGTCAATAAATGATGAATGCAATTAAAATATTAATTTATTTATATATTTAATTAAATATATGTATATGATTAATTAAACAAATAAGCTACTATTAATTAGTTGCCCAATAACTTGAATTGATTATTATTTTATAATATTTAACATAGTTATTATTAGCTAATAATAAGTTAAATAGACTTGAGAATGAGAATCACATCAACAACAACAACAACAACAACAAAAAAGCCTTAATCCCACTACGTGGGGTAAAGGCTATTTATTTGAACTAAAAACACAAAAAAATGAAAAGAAGACTAGTCACCTTATTAGTTAATAATGTGTAAATCCATAAAACTTCTACTTTGAAAAGAAGACTAGTCACCTTATTAGTTAATAATGAGTAAATCCATAAAACTTCTACTTATGATTTAGAAAGCAAAATTAAAACTTCTACTTATATTTTAATTATAGTTAATATCTTATATAAGTAAAAATGTCATTAGTTTTATTTAATTTAATATTTATTTATTTTAAATTTGAAGAAAAAGTTAGCATTAGTTAAAAATTTAAAAGATTTAGTGTATGTATAAAATTATTACTTTTTAAATCATATGTTTTTTAATGAGTTTAAAAAGTGTCAATTTATGGATGAAATGAGACCATTTTTTTTTTGTAATTATCATAAGTTCTTTCTTGTCTTAATGCATGGATGAATTCAATGCCTATTTTTTGCAATGTTTTGTTTAGATAGCATAAAGATATCAAAATTTTCAATCAGTTTTTATACAGCACGTCAATTTTTTTGACCATTTTAACATGAACTGCAATCATCTCTGTCAATATTTGGTTATATACTTATATTGAATTTAATATTTATTGATTTGCCCATATTTTGATGATATTTTGCCACAATATTGATCAAAGTGTGTGATGCTTGAACATAAATTTGTTGTAGGACATGATGTAATTTTGTTTTATCTTTTTGTTTGACAACAAATTCAAGATATTCAATAAACACTTATCTCATTTTGGCTGGGAAAAAAACAATTATTCTCATCAGTTTTATAATTTAATTTATTGACCGTCATTTATCCTTTTTTTTTCTCCACTTAGCATTTCTTTTAGCCAATTCAATATTCAATCCCACAAGATTCCTTTCTATTTTTTGACCTATTATAATTTTAAACTTTTTATTAGTTTTTCTATTATTTACCATTGTAGTGTTAAATAAGCAAGGGTTCCCACGTGACGGACGAATGCAGGTAAAGAAGTTAGTCCATGAAACTACTGAAATTAACATTAGGATAGGATCTTGGAATATAGGTACTCTCAATGATAAACTAATGGAATTAGTTGATATTATGATTCATAGAAAAATTAATATCTTATGTATTCAAGAAACTAAGTGGGTTGGAGAAAATGCTAATGAAATTGATAATTTATATTTTAAACTTTGGTATTCTGGTAAGAGTCACACTAGAAATGGTGTAGGTGTAATTATAGATAAGAGTTTGAAAGATAATGTTGTAAAAATTAATAAAGTTGAAGATAGAATAAGATTATCATTGATACTAAGATTTTTAATATTATAAGTACTTATGCTCCTCAAGTAGGTTTAGATACAGGGTCTAAAGATAAATTTTGGAATGACTTAGAAGACTTAATATAGATGATACCTCTTGAAGAAAGAATTTTTATTGGAGGAGATTTAGATGGGCATGTCGGTAGAGTGGTAGAGGACTTCAGGCCTGCTCATGGTGATTACAATTTTAGAGTTACTAATGAAGAAGGTAAAGCTATTTTAGATTTTGCTTTAGCGTATGATTTTGTTATTACAAATATTTTATTCAAGAAAAGACGTGAAAATCTTATTACTTATAAGAGTGGATTTAAGAAAACACAAATTGATTATTTTCTTATGAGAAAAAGAGATCTTCGAGATTGTAAAGATTGTAAGGTCATTCCAAGTGAGAATTTAAGTACCCAACATTGCTTAAAACATATTTTATTTCAAGTAAAAAAAAAATAGCTAAATAAAATAAAATAAAAAATTTAAAATCAAAGGGGATCCCACATGGCCTTTTAGTTTATGGAAATCAAACACATAAATTTCCTGCTATCCTGAAATCAGACATTACTTCAATCTAGCCATTAATGTCAACATTATTGAAAAGCCTATCATAAATTACTTGAGATTGGTGTGCTATAATAACTCTTGTTTACAGAAGGGTGGTTGTCTCCACTTGTGCTGTTGAAGGTGTTTATAACTGCCGAATAATAATGAGCATTAATGTTTACAAAATGAAACAAACTATTGTCAGTATTTTGAAAAATAACAATCTTATGCTATTTAGTTAAATTAGTAATGTTATAGTTTCGGTGACGCTAAAAATTCTGCTTTTAATGATCTTTATAATAGATTTGATACTAAGGAGGGTGAAAATTATATGTATAAACTAGCCAAACAAAGAGAAAAGAAAAGTAAAGATTTAACTCAAGTAAAGTGTATTAAAAGATGAAAATAAAAAAAAGTACTTTTCTTAGAAAAAGATATTCAATATAGGTGGGTGAGTTACTTTGATAAACTTTTTAATTAATTTTTTGAAAATACGATCGGCCTTAGTGATCTTAATATCGTGAATAATAATAGAACATTTCATTTTTACCGTCATATTAGTAAAAAAAAAGTTGATGAGGCTCTAAAGAAAACCAATGGTGGAAAGTCTGTAGGACCTGATGATATCCCAATTGAAGTGTGGAAATATTTGGGAGATTTCGGAGTTTCTTGGCTTACTAAACTCTTTAATATTATTTTAAAAACTAAAAAGATGCCTGAGGAGTGGAGGAAGAGTATTTTGATCCCCATTTTTAAGAATAAAGGGGATGCACAAGAGTGTGCAAA